TTTTTTAAATCTTATAATGATCATTTTTTAATGATGTTAAGTTTACATATAATAAAAGTGATAATACAATACTTGTAACTCTAAGGCATAAAAGTGAAATTTATTTGATATTTTAATATATAAAATATGGATAGTGCAATACTTACATTTATTAAGTGAAGAGATTGTAATTTACATTTTTTTTTTGGAAAAGCAAAGAACAATTTATTAATATGAGACTACTAATGAGAACATCACAAGATATGATTCCTAGTAGCAGAAGAAACAAAACAAAATATTTAGATCCATAAAAATCTCTTCCTAAAACACAAAAATGCAACATCAAAACTAGATACACCGAAAAAGTTAGAACTATTGTAATTCTTCTAAGTACAACGTAGGTTGCTCAATCCACTTAGGAGAAATTGGCTCATGTAGCTTTTGCTATTATCCAACATCAAGGTCTTTACTTCACATTCTTCAACACCTTCTCAATATACAAGGACTTGTATTTTTAAAAGATACGTTGATTTCTATATAATCATAGTAACCACAAGATAGATCACCAAATCAATAATGATTTTTTTGCAACTTGCTACCTCTTATGATTCCCAAATGTTGTAGAAAGTGTGTCATACTATTTAAAGGTGGAGTAGAATACAAATCCCACCAACGATAACATTTTTTCCATACATGATATGAAAATGGGTATCCAAATAATAGATGCTTAATTGTCTCAAGCTCCAAATCACAAAATGGACAAGCAAGATCAACAACATCTATTAAAATCCTACAATGAAATAATAGATCATAGGTTTGTATACGATTAAGGAAAACACACCAAACAAAGATTAACACTTTTAAGGGAGCTCTAATCTTCAATAGCAACTTAAATGCTTAAATATCATATTCACCATGAACATTTTGCAATAAAGAATAACCATGTTTTGCTAATTATCAACCCACGTCGTCACCTTGCCACACCAACCCATTAATTCTTGGTTTATTTTGAGCAATATCAGCAATCAACAAATCAACCAATTTACCTTCCCTATCTAACAAATTACTTCTCCATAGTATGCTCCAAGTTCAATTAAAACCTTCCCATTTTTTCATGTCTACAACTAAAGCCTTTTCCTCTAAACATAAGGAAAACAATCTGGGATGTATTAATTTCATAATACTAGCAGAAGACCACTTATTCTCTTAGAATTTAAACATCCTCCCATTGTCTAAAGAACAAGAGAATGGCTTACTAAAACAATCATCTTCAAAAATTTCATCAGTTGAGTTAATCACATTAGACCATTATTAGGATAGCTTAGTCATTCCACATAAGTTAAATGGTAAGTGTATGGAACCATATTTTGGTTTAAGAATTTTAACCCATATGACATTACCTTCATTGAAAGATCTTAACCTCCACTTTACAATGAGTGCAATGTTTAATTTAGATATATTTTAAATTTCAAGTACACCAAATTCCTTGCTTCCACAGACTTGATCCCATTTGATCCAAATTATAGATTTATTAGCAATTGTAGAATCTCATAGAAAGTCTCATTGAATTTTGACAATTTTTTCCTGCCACTCCTTTGGATAACTTATAAAATGATAAGTATAAAATGATAAGAAAAAGAGAGAAATTGGAGATAGGGCTAAATTTATTAGAGTCACTCTACCTCCAATAGATAAACTATTTTGCTTTCAAAGCAAAAGTTTCTTTTGTAGCTGCACCAAAACAGGATTCCAAACCTCTTCTCTAATGCCATTCACTCCAACAAGCACCCCAAGATAAAGAATTGTTGCACTTCAACTGTATAGCACACCGAAATTATCACGACACCACGCTTTAATGTCCAATTTAAGCTTCTTTAATTTTTCTTTTAAAACGTACGCAACCCATCCAACTTCATCAAAACTTTTGTATCTTTATAAAACAAATGCCGCAAATTTTTTATCCATCAACCAGGCATGTATAAACTTGAAGGTTTTCTTGCCCCATTCAACACAATTTTCCTTGAACAGCACTGGACAGTGATATGACTGTCTAATACCAATTGGAAACAGTTTGGATATAAATCAAGCCATTCATGTGAGATTAAAATTCTATCTAACCTGCTGCATGCACTACCTCCGCTTCAGTATCAAGTATATCGACGACCAACTAGGCAAGTAAAAACATGTCATCAATGAACTTTGAAAATTCCTCCATCTCTCTTGTCCTTCCTACAACCTCACCATGAACTCCTTTTCTGTGAGCAGCAAATTGCGTTAAAATCTCCAACAAGACACCACAAACGATCTTGAGAATTAGCACGAATGTCTTTTAAGTACAAACCACAGAACCCTTTTTCCTGATTGTGAACAAGGAGAATACATGCAAACAATGACCCTAGGGCACTGTTCTTGACGCCAATTACCCCTTACACCCACAAAACCATCCCCTTCAATTTCCTCTATAACACAAAATTCCTCCTTACTCCAAATACATAGCAAACCACCAGAAAAATTTATTGCAGGCCTACTTATCCAGCCAATATTACAGTCACCCCAGATCGCAGAATAAATCCCAATATTTACCGCTTCAATCTTTGTTTCCTGAAGGCAGAGATAATCGACTTGTTCTCTATATATATACTTCTCAAACCTCTCTACTTCCCTTTTCACTTAAATAAAGTAAATTATATGTTTTGATATAAAAAAAAAATAATGCAATACTCTTATCATTCAAGAGAAAATAACATAATTTACTATATTATTTAAGTATTATTTATCTTTTTCTTTATTTTGAAATAAAATATTTTATTCTCCTTTTATTATTTAATTTCATTGTAAAATAATGACATATCTTTTATCTTTCTATATCAATATTTTATTTATTTATTATAGTCTTAATTATGAAGATAATTATATTATTTTATTTAATATCATGAAATGATAAACTATTATGATCAGTCTAATCATGACAAGGTTGGAATAGTATATACATTCAAATCTTAGTATTATTATTATTATTTTATTTAATAAAAAATTCAATGAAATAACTTAATTAGTTCTTTCATTTATTATGATAAAATAAATAAATTCATGAAAAAATTAAATATTGTGATCTAAATCAATTATTGTGATCTAATTCAATTGATTGAATAAGATGCGTAAATATTGTTGTAAATTTCTAAGTGCAAAGTTTGATTCTTATAAATAAAAATAAATAAATGGTTTTATTTGTATTTCATTAGGATTTAGTAGACTTTTAGAGCAAAATTAATATGACATTTTACTAAAAGATCATGGTGATTATTTATAAATTCAGGAGGTTTCATCATGTGAATTTGATATTTAATAAATTTTTTTATATAAGCAAATGTTATTGTATTGATAAAATTAGCACAACTTAGCACAAGATGTGTCGATGGTTTTGCATCAAAGGGATGCATATGCAATAAATAAACAATCTTGATAAGTCCTAAAATTATAATTTTTATTTAGTCCAACAATGAATATCCTCAAACCCAATAGACTAGAGACTAATTTTATTCAGATACTTAATTAGTCCTTGTGTAAGATTAATATCTAGCTAGCCTAGTGAATTGAAAAATACTTGTCGTGGGAAAAAAAACAAACTATATTTACCGGAATACACAAGTAAAAAATAGCTTTTCACATCGACGAGCCAAACTTGATTGGGACTAAAATGTCTTACAACAATCTTGACTTCATTCTTTTTTATCCATGTGTTTTTATCGAGTCTTCTTTTGTTTTGTTTTTCCCCCTAGTTGGCTTCTAATTGGATTGCACTATTAGGCTAGCTCAATTGACTTTTGGTTTTATATATGTTCATCAGAACGTATGAATGACATGCTTTAGAGATGTCCCACATTAAGTACTAGACTATGTAAAGCCAACAAGGAAATGTTATTATTAATTTGCATCATATCACTATGGGTAAGTAATATAATAGGTTGAAATTAATGTATAATATTATAAGACTTTGACTAATTTATATCCAATTTTGTAGGTAACATTAATAAATTAAAAAATAGAAATTACCTTGATTTTTTAATTACTAATCATAATTTTTTAATTTTTAATTTTAGAGTTTAAAGTGAGTGTATGTTCGAATTGAGTTAAATGTAGAGAATTTTTAACAATTAATTATTAGGCAAATTCCCTGCATTCTCTAAATTAAACTGTTGGTTTCGTCTTTGAGTAGATTAATACATTATAAGCAAATACACATGTAATCCTTGGTTTATGAATAACATGAAACTAATTATATGACTTATTATTTAATATTTTGTTATTTTAATAGTTAAATAATATATAAAAAAATTACTTTTGTACCCATATTCTATTTATATTTGCAAAAATTTCATGTTTAATATTAAATTTTAAAATATTTTCTTTTCAATCATAAAATTAGAATATCATCAAATTTTACTTTAAACTCATACAATGTGATTATAAAATAATAATGTTATAATAAATTAAAATAATATAAGTTTATTTATAATAGTTAGATTTATATTTTAATTTAACAATTTTTTAGGAATAACATAAAAAAGTAACATGTTAACATTAGTTAAAACAATTGTGTTTGTGTTTCTTGACTTTCTTCTTCTTTGTTGAATTAATAGGGATTGTTAATTAGCATTGTGCTTTCAAACCATATTAGATTTTTATCACCGGCCCAATGTGAAGAATGTAAAGTTATTAATAGATTGTATGTAAGTGCGAGAGTGGTTAATCCAAAAAAAGTTTAGTCTTTCTTAGACACAATAACTGAACACTGTAATCTTTTTTTTTCTTCCATCCTAACTGACGTGACATCATTATCACAAATAAACATTAACAATTTAAACTAGGCTCGAGTAAAACATTATAGAAAGTTAATACTATGCAAGATATTTTAGTCAATTGCATAGTGTAAAAGATGAAGTCAAACCAATGAACAATGATTCGACACAATTGTTTTTCTAGCTAGTTTATACACCTCTTTATTTTTTGTCCCCCGATACTTTTTTTTTTTTTTTGGACTGCATTTGAACTTGTTCACAAAGTTGAATGAAACTGTTTGGATGTGTTCCATTTGTGTAGAACATGGCCAAAGACATCATAGAATACTACCTCAATTTCAGTTTGAGTGACCTGCACATACATGAATCCTTGGCCATCGTAATACAACTTCATCTCTTCTGGCTTCCACCAGTTTAATTACAACACCCCTCCACGCCTTCGACCCACTACCGCTAGTCAAAAATTGAATTCCACTGAAATGAAATTCATGTGCACATTTAATTGTTAAAGTCTGTTTACTAAATTTCTTTTATATGTTTTCTTCTCCAGTAAATATTTTTGAAAAAAAGTATCCAATTAAATTAAACTTTATATATGCATGATTGAATATTAACAAACCTGTCAAGACTGGTTATGTGTTGTAGGCAGTGATCGTGTCCATTTATGAAAAGGTCAATGTTGTTTGCCTGAAATCAAATTTCAATAGACACTTAACATTAAGTTCGTGGAAGCTAATAATATAATTATACAACCTTAACAGTTCGTGGAAACTAATATAACCTGATCATATTTTAGAGTTACCTCGAGAATTGGAAGAAGGTGCTTTACAAGCTCCTCCGTGTCACCGTGCACGCCGGCACTTCTAATTGTATGGTGACCTACCACAATCTTCCACTTCGCATTTGATTCTTGTAAAGCCAAACCCACCTCCTATTTAAATTTAAGTCTACACGAATTAACCGTTGAGCATCGAAATTAAATGGTTGTTCAAATCATTCGTACGAAATTATAAAAATAAAAAAATAAAAAATCTATCGTCTGATTCCTTTTCTTTTTTTTAAATTTAATTTTCGTTATATTCTGAGATATGATCAGTGCTAAAACCTTGAGGAGGTTGGAAATGTAGCGTTTGCGAGGCCATACGTCTCTCCAATCATAAACATGGTCCCCAGGATCTGTGAAATATTTGTCCACAAACGGAGTAGTATCTACAAAAGAAAAACTCCGCAACTTCTGAAACATAGAATGTAACAAATTAACCACATCAATTCATGTTACTTTACTTGAATTTATTAATATATATAATCTTTCTACAAATTGAAATTAAGAAGCAAAAAAGAGAGGTTTCTTAATTTTGAGCTGCATTGACGATAAAAGATCTCATGCAAAGCCATCTCTTGTCAAGATTTGTGAGGACAGGACTTAGCTGTGCCTCAACATTACCCCTATAGTCGTGGTTGCCCAAAACTGCACAGAACCCAAAATGTTACATTAAAAAAATTAAAGACATTATTATCGTTGGTCTCGAATATCTGATCTTTCATTATTACTTGATAAAATAAGAAGCGTTCATTTCACGTGTAGAATTGAAATTCATATTTTATGAATTTGAAGGCTTACCACTGTACCATTGTTTCTGCAAACTAGAAGCAGTGTAGATTTTGGTGAATGATTCTTCAAAAGCTGGATCATCTATGCCTGTCAAGCCACTGTCGTAAAAATTGTCGCCGGTGGAAATCACAAAATCGATGTCCAATTGCTGTCCAATAACTCCCACCTAAGAAAAACTAAATTCAGTTTAGCTACCAGAATAAATTGTTTTTGTTAGAACTCAGGCAAAAGGACACATGACAAATTAACCATCATTTGCAGATATAGAATCAGATTGGATTGGTTGGTCCAAACAATTCTTAAAATTGTTAAAATTAATCAAAAACCTATCAAAATTTAATAATAATTGGGGACAAAAGAATGATTTCTATATATTAATAATTTGAAAATTAAAACGTTTTTAAATAATTAAAATTCAAGTACAAATTAAGTGGGTAAACGAGTTTTTATTATATAATAATTTATTGTAAAAACATTATTTAATAAGATATGTAATATAATTTTATGTTAAATTATTTAAGAATTTTAGTTCACTTAAAATTTATAATTTTAAAAATAGATTTAATTATAATTAATTCACTTTATATTAAAGATTTTAAACATTTTCAAATGAATTAAGCATAGAGAAGCGTTTACTACCGTTTTTAAAAATCATATTTATTTCGAACGTTAAATGCACCATTTTCTTTTTTGTTGCCCGGTATGTTCTTAAAAGTGTATGTGTTTAAGAAACATAATTATATGTGAACCATAATTGTTGATATAATTATCATCTCACGTTAAAAGAAAAATACTACTAATTTGAAGGGCAAAATGTTAAAGTAGAAGTTATTCATACTCTTCTTTGAATATTAATGATTATGCATAAAAATAACTTGAAATTTGAGTTAAATTTGTGTATTTACCTGTTCCTCAAATATGATATTCGTTTCCCTATTAAACAAAAGTTAGGTTGCTCATTGGAAGTTTGTGACCAGACTTGGGTCTAATTTCAAAATTAATTAATCTTTCAAACTCAATAAACTCATTTGTTTAAGTAAATTTCGAATAATATAACCGTTAAGCCTATTACCACCCGTTATACACAGCTTGTTTTTTCAACACACCAATAATATAATCATGAGATAATATACAGTCCTAGATGCTTCTGTCCAAATAAGAACTAAACTACTTGCGCCTGCATAGGCTGCATGATTTGCCTAATATTATTTTTTTTTTCGTTGCCTCTTTGTTATTATCATAATACTTAATAAATAGAAAAAGAGTGTGAAAGGAATCTGCATACAGTAACAACACTTTGTATAGCAACGAAAAACACGACATTCTTTGGCTCTTCCTGTACTAATAATACATATATTATTAAAGTGAAATATCAATTTTATTTAAAATACAACACCAACAATAGAGGCACGTAACTAAAGTTTTATCTCATGATATTATTAAGAAAATAAACAGAAAATAAGAAGAAGAAAAAAAATGAAGTGAAATAAGTATAAGTAATTTGAGGGGAAATGAATATGATAGTTGCTGAGCAAAGATACCTGAAATGCAAGTTGAGATTGGTTATAAGCTCCTTTTCTTCCCCAATCTCCGATGACCAAGAAGCTAAGTGAAGCATCGGGTTTAGGTTGTTGTTGAAACCGCTGAAGTGCAACCGAGAAAACAACCAAAGACAAGGTTATGGCACCAATCAAATTGAAAACAAGCAGTTGGGTCATGGTGATCGAGGTCAGAGAATTATGGGCATGCACTGCAATATATATACTATGCCTCGCCATGCAAAATGACAAGCTAGCTAGCTCAGCTGTCAGGGTATTTTCAAGAGTGGTAATGCAAATCATCATGTGACATGTGTATATATATCATTGCTCTATTTTTTAATTCATTTTAATAACACTTCTGTTCTTAATTACCACGTGAAACAACACCTAAAACACAATGTTTCACCTAAAACACAATGATTTCATGATTACAACTTGGATTTTATCTTGGCCCATCATCTTATTGGTGTTATGGGCTGAACAGATTGTTGAGATTTCCGTTGAAATACTTTTGTTATAATTGTAAATCAGTTTAATTCTATCAACGGTCTCAAACACGACAAGTATACCGGCTGTTCAAGTAGTAAAATTATCGTATCCACAAGGATTAGAAGGTAACATAAGCATTTATTGACTATTCGTGACTAAAGAATAATTCCAATTCCATAGTTTGTCATGTGAATTCAAGGTTATGACTATTGGAATGAAAGATATATAAAAATATTGGTTTGTGTGTGGAAAAGGATAGAAATGGTATAATGATTTTGTGAGGTTGTGAGGGTCAGACTTCACCAAACGTTACACTAATGAATCCTTAATCTCTTGTTACATACATTGCTCAGTCAACCCATAAGTTTACTCAAACTTAATTCTTTAGAGCAAGAGCCTAGGTGCGGATATTGAATATTAATCTCTTGAGTACCCAATATCTACACCCGCATTACGGGCTAGGGTTTAAGACTACTAATGAGTCAAGCTCTATCCCTAGATACAATCCCTACTAGGCATATGTTTCAGAACTAGTTTCAATGGTATTTCCCAATACTCAATGGAACCTTAAATCATGCAAAGGGTGATCAATCTAAAGCAAGCATTAAACATCGAAACGTACACAACAAAGAATGAAACAACATGTATATATATCATTAAAAACGTAAGGATTACAATATAGTACGTTGGTTACATCTAACCCCACAAAAATGGATAGAACCACTCAACAATGATGGTAAATACAAAATAGAGATGAAGGGAGAAATGAAGAACCGAAGGAAAGATCCACACACGAACGTTCCCAAGCTCTGAGAATCCCTTCTACAGCTCCAAGGAGACGCTCCTGCGTGAATGAGGGAGAAACCATCCAAAATGGCTTCAAATACGAGCTTGGGAAGATCAGATTAGGGTTTCGCGCTCGGCACGTAAGTCTTCACGCCTGACGCGGGGTCTTCCAAATACTCTCTGCCTTAGGACACGCCCGGCGCAATTAATTTTACGCCCGGCGCAGATGTGGCTTTGCAGAGGTGAGACTGTTTTGATCACGCCCGGCGCGGGTCATGTGGCGCCCGGCGCATTCACTCTTCTCTACTCCTTAGCTTTTTAGATTTCCAATCCAAAGGATCTTCAACTTTCCACTCTTCACTCAATACCTGCACAAAAAATAAGGTGGATTAAGGTATTGTTAGATGAATTTGGGTTAGTTATATCTGCACACAAAATAAACAAAAAAGAGAACAATTATATTGCAATGGTTCAGAGGATGAATGGAATTGTTCAATAAGTCTCATCCAAAAAGAAGTAAAATTGAGACTTAACACATATCATGTCGCTACCATCGATTAATTGCAGACAAGTCTGGCTGTTTCTTATTAAATTTGTCCAACTTTGCTTTTTCCCTTTTCAGTTTAAATAAAATTAAAACTAATTAAAAGTAAACAGAAAAGAGGTAATTAATTGCTTATTAAAAAATGATAAATCAATTATCATAATCATCTTTGTTAATTTCAAATTTTTAAATAATATAAAAAAAAATCAATATTCATTTTATTACAACCGATTCATCATTTATCATTTAATTAGTAAGTAAAATGTGTATACGCACGAGAATTTTCTTTTTCTAACTACTTATTAAAAATGTGTCGTTAAACATCTTTATATTAAATGAAAAATAAGATGAAAATGTGTATAAAGAAAACAATATAATGAAAATTTTATATTAGACACAAATAAATTTTATATTTTAAAATTCTTGTAATGTCACAAAAAATTGTCATTTTATCTCCGGTCAAAAATATTTAATTGAAGAATATATGATATTATATAAAATGTAAACATCACACTCTATATGATTAGATAAATGAGTTATAAAAATTTATTCATAAAAATAATTAAAATCATATTAACATGGATAAATATTGTATTATTTAATTAACTATTTTGGAGATTAAATTATAAAAATATATTTAAAAAATAAGAAAAATGAAGCAGTTAAATATAATAGTTGAACTTTCACTTTTTTTTTTTAGAGATATACACTATTGTAACATATTTAAAGTGTGATTATACATCTAATAAATATAATAGATAATTCAAGAACTTAGAAAAAAAAAATACTTTAGAGAACTTAAAAAATAATTTATTGCCAAAATTTCAATAACAAGCAAAGTTTGAGAAGAATATATTGAGATTGGAAATATGAAGTACAATTGAAAGTCAAATAGAGAAGATGAAAATTTAAATATAAAAAAATGCAAATTATTTTAATATTATCTTTCTTCTATTGTTTAAACGTTTAAACCAACATTTCACATACTATATGCAACTAATTACAAAATTTATCTTTGATACCACTTTTCTTTTATCTTTATTTCTATATTTAATCTTTTTAACTATTTAATTCTTTCAATATTTTGAATATTCTTGATAATATTGAAAATTATTTTTATTATAAATTTAGCCTTAAGTATGTTAATTTGAAAGTTATTTAGATTTTTTATAATAATTTTTATTATTTGAAAATTTAAAATTAATAATTTTTGCCCCTATAATTTTAAAAATATATGTTTCACTAATATGGATAATAATAGTTAAATTTTGTGTACTATTTTCATTCATAGGTGAATTTTGGTGTCATATTCCAAATAACATTGTTAGGTGATTTTAGTAAGTGTACCAATTGTACAAGTAGTTAATAATGAGTAAATATTGTCTTCCAAAAAATTTGTATAATACATGAAAATAAATGTATTTAATAACTAATCTAGACTAAAAAATATTCTATTAAATGATATTGGTTGATAAAAGAAACAAAAATCATTTAAAAGAAAGGTAAAAAAAATTGTATTTTTGCAAACACCTAGAAGGCTTAGATAAGAAATGAAATGGTATGTAAACCTTAAATCCTAAATTGTATGGATTACACTTTATTGAAACTTAGTCTCATGCATTTAAAACACTCAAATCTTCTTCCACATTTAATATTAATATTAATTCACTAATTTACTCATCCTAATTTCTTAAAAGAAAGAACCTTAGTTGCCTTATTAAATATCAATTTATTGAATACCTAATAAAGGAACTTGCATTAATAAAAATGATTTAAGACAACTAATGGATCAAGTTTTATTCCTAAATACTAACTTCACTGGATATTTTGTTTCAGTTCAATATTACAAAAGATATTTCTAATAATTAATGAATCAAAAATCAAGCTATGGTTGTTCACTCCAGTACAAACATTAAAATTAGAAACAAAATACTAATATTGAAAAGGAAAGACACATACACACACATGTGTGTGAGTGTGTATAATAATAATCTTCAAGGATGTCTTCTTTGGATCTTACTTCTTCACTTTCATGTGTCCTTTCTTACTTGGTTTGCTCCAAATGCACTTCCTAATCAAATGTTAGCCAAAAAATTTGGATTAGTGGTATAATTAAGTAATGGTAACCATTTTAATTAATTGTAAAAAAAATCATTAAAAGGAAGACTAAGCTAGTTAAAAGCTAAAAAAAATTGATATTGTTAATGTAAAATGACCAATAATTATAAATATAAGAAACCAAAAGTAAAATTTAAATTTAAATAATTTAAATTTAAGAAACCAAAAGTAAAATTATCTCATATTTAATGGACTAAAAATATATTTAATTATAAATTTCAATTATAGAAAATAAAACATTTACCAAGTACACTAATTTTTCATTAATTCAATTAGACTCAAATCCCTTAAACAAAATCTTCTGATCCAAATTCTTGACTAAAATTAGTCATCGATGGTAGATATTTTGCATCAATAGTATGATGATAGAAAAAAAAAAAAAAAAAAAACCTTTATCCTATACACTAACATGTTTGTTTATGTGGGTTTGGACTTGGATTCTCTAATGCTTTGTTTGGAGAGGGAAAAGAATTGAAAGGAATAAGAGATAATTTAGTGAGAATTGATTTGATAAAAATGGATAGGAAATAATTAAAGTAGAATTTGTAGTTATTTGATAGAGTAAAATTATGTGAAAAATAAAGAAAATTTAAATTTTAAAATTGTATTTTATATAATTATCTTTTTATGTAAAAATAATAACGTATAATATTACCATTTATCTTTCTCTTACATTGAAGCGGGACACACACACATATATAATATAATAGCATAATTGGTTATATTAGTTTGCATAACTAATTATGTCACCTCTCAACCTTCTAGACATATATATACACATCAAGTAACCAAAAATCAAGCATAATCCAATATCACTTCAACATAATTGAATATCCTTTCACCATAATCGAATATCACTTATTTTTATCCGATTTTAATGAGAAGTAATGCAATATGACTTGTAACATAATCCAATATCAATGAGGTCATATATGTTATTGTCAATGACCCTTGTCTAGTTTTACGAGAATCTCTTCATGTGAAAGGGTGATTCTAATACATGAACCCACCATTTATTCATCTCAAATCCTTTTTAATTTATCTCTACCAAGCATGAATAGTTTTATTAATTTCTCTCTAATTCATCTTTTTGCCCTCAAATTCCTCTTAAATCATACCCCCAAAACACAATGTAAGAAAAGTTTCATGTTTGAGTTTTATATATAATGGAAAAAGTTTGATTGAAATTCTATAGTAGATGTTTGACTCATGATACATACACTTCATTTTTTATAAGTACACCTCTTTTCATTTTTTTTAAAAAATAAATTTCTAATCCTTAATTTTTTTTCTTTCTAATTTTTTAATTTTACACTTCTAATGTTCAATTTAACACTTTATCCTTTTTTTTCACACACCTCTTTCCTTCCTATTTTTAGTTTTCACATGCATTTCCTTGTCATCACCCTATTTTTTACCTATTTTAGTAAGTAATTTTAATTTTTTTGATTTTTACATTACTATCTTCTCTTCTTTCCTTTTTGTTTTTACACTAGTACTCTCTTCCTCCCCTTTTTATTGTTTTCTCATGCACTCAGGACTTATAATTAGTGTTCAACAACATTATAGGTTTGAGTGGCTTTCTCGACAATGTTGAAGGTGTTAAATCAAATTTGTATTTTTTCTTCGAGGACTTCCCCCATTTACACATATAGAAAGCACACCATTAAATTTAGTGTTTTAAATAATTTTAGTGTCCTAGAAAGTACTTTTCAAAATAGTGAAATTAATGTTCTATAAAGTATTTTTCATAATTGTATTTTTTACATACATTTGGAAAATACTTTTCAAAACAATAAATTTAGTATTTCAAAAAGTACTTTCTAGAAGTATGTTAAAAACACAATTCCAAAAAATATTTTTCGGAACACTAATTTCATTATTTCGGAAAGTACTTTTCAAAATATTGAAATTAATGTTCATGAAAGAATTTTTCAAAATACTAAATTTAATATTGAAGTGTTCAAATAAAATCATGTGTATTTGGTTTGACACTTTCAAAATTGTCAAAAAAACCGCATCTGCCTAAAATACTATTGTGAACTAATTCTATGGTCTGAGTGCATTTGAAAACTAAAAGAGGGAAGGGGAGAAAAAAGTAATGTGAAATTGAAAAAATTAAAATTACCTACTAAAATAGGTGGGGAATGAGAGGAAAAGACAAGGGGTTGCTTGTAAAAACTAAAAGGGAGAGAGAAGGATGTGTGTGAAAAAGAATAAAAAAGTGTTAAATTGAAAATTAGAGGTATAAAATTAAAAAATTAAAGAATAAAAAAAATTAGGATATTTTAAGACTTTTTTTAAAAAAAATTAAGGAAGTGCATTTATAAAAAAAAAAAAAAAAAAGAGTTGTGTATATCATGAACCTAGATGCTTTGTATGAATAATAGAGTAAAAAACATTTATTAAAATAATAAAAATAGTAAAATAAGAAGTCTTTAACATTGTATTTAAAATGAGGAAAAGAGAGTGGAGATCAAGGAAAAGAGAGTCGATATCAATGTTTTAAAAATCGGACATAATAAAATATTAGGTTAGTGAGTTAAAGGTTGAACTAACATGTCACTAATTAAAATGCATGACTTTATCTTAATTAAATTTTTTAAAAATATATTTATATCATATATATTTCATGCATATAAATTTGAATAACATTCATATCATATCTTAAATTCATATCATATTTTAAAGAAGTCTTCCAAAAATTGTAATCAATATAATACTAATAAAATAATCAAATTATAAATAAGTTGAATTACATAAATTAATATAATTAAATATAAATATATTTATAAATTATTTAAGTCAATTGTACAATAATAAAATATATTGATTTTATGATCACTAAAGTGATTAATTCAATCGAATTCAAGTATCATCTTATCCAAAATTATTTTTGTATTTTTATTTATATGAAAAATGTATAAGAAAATATTTTACTTAAAAAAACTAATAAAAAACACTAGATATTATCAATAAAAAAAATAACTATATAATATATATTATATTTATAAAGTATAATCATAAAACTCGTATGGTCTACTAGTCTAGTGTCATTTAAGCAATCTAACACTAATACGGTATTGGTTCAATGGTGATCCAACCGGCCGGTTTGAATGAATTTAAATCGAAAGCAAATGAAACAAAGAAAATTGTGATGTTTTTTATAAGTTACTCTTCAACTAAAAAAAAAATACATAGTTGTGTTTATATTTTTTTTTTCTTTTCTCTGTAATTTTTTTTTTCTTTCTTACCAAACATACCGTAATTCCACGGAGAAGGAAGAAACAGTAATGAAATAGTAGTGGCCTAGCCACCTTAATAGTTATCCTTGGAAAAGGAGTTTTAAGATTCTCGCAAACTCCGTTAAATATTTTGTCGCAACACGCTTTATGAGTTACTACCAAACCTTATCACTTTCATCCACTTTGTGCGCCTCAACTCCCCAATTGCCGGATCTGACTCACACCTTCACTCTTCTCTTCCACTCTGCCCACAATCCCCATTCAATAATTGGTAAAAACAAATTTCTCCCTTATTTCCTGCAATTTACTATTTTGGGTAATGGGTGTTTTGCTATTTGGCTTATCATGGAATTGCTTGACCCAGAAGATGATTGATTCTGTGAGGTTGAAATTGGAAATTATGGATCACGGGGACATTGTTCTTTCAGTTTGAGTTGTTTTGCAGGTTGTATAAATTGGTGTGCTTTACTCTGTGTTTGAGTCTTAAATTAGAATGGTCCCTTGCTTAATGTTTATACAAGTTTCAGCCCAGAACTTGCTTGATGAAATGAATATATTTGGTTTGTGTGGATATTAAGGTTACTGTACTTACTAGTAGCACCATGCGATTTGCTAGTGTGAAAGACAGCCATACCTTGCTTAGATTGGTGCTAGGGATAGATAACATTGAATTCATTTAATAACATGTTTTCTTTCTCTGTTCTCTTTTCATGTAGACGATAGAGTGGTTGCGGATGGCTCCTTTTGCAATTGCAACATTGCCCTCTTCTCGCATCTACCACCTCCCAAAGGCCCCAAACTTGAAGCTACCCATTCGCTGCTCTGGAGCTGCTGCTTCTCCTTCTGTGGCTTCCATTCGATCAAAAGCTGCTAACTTTGATTTGAAGACGTATTGGGGTTCACTGATTGTGCAGATCAATGACAAGTTGGATGAAGCTATTCCGGTTCGGTTTCCTCCGCAGATATATGAAGCTATGAGGTATTCAGTCCTTGCCAAAGGTGCCAAGCGAGCCCCACCTGTCATGTGCATCTCTGCTTGTGAACTCTTTGGGGGAAGCCGCCTTGCCGCCTTCCCCACTGCCTGTGCCCTTGAAATGGTAATTCTTGATCTTAAGGCTCGAGAAATTTGAGAGAGAGAGGTTTATTATTGTCACAATTTTCTTTTTAGGGTAGGATAAACCTCTCTATAAATACTTCTAGGAGAAAAAAATAAAGAAAAAATTAACAGTTTTTTCATAAGTTAATATGTATAAACTAATTTGTACAAGTTTTATCATACTAGCTTTTCTAAAAAATATATTTTTTGAACTTATGCAATTAAAGCTAGTTTATAGAAGTTCTCTCTTAGCAACGTTTTAAAAAAATATATATTTAACTTATGCAAAGGCTAATTTTAGTTGATATGCTTATGAAGAAGTTTATTTAAACCAACTCTTATTTTAGAGCTACTAGAGTTTTATCAGTCAAATAAACCTGATCCTAATTCCTTCCCTTTTTCTTTTTAAGTTTTAGAATGACATTAGTTGCATGTTTAGTTGTAGGGATGTTGTGTTGCTGGTGCAAATGATTGTTTTGGATACCATATTTTTCTAGCTTTACTGCTTAAAATAGTGCCTAAATTGACCTTTAGATGAACATGAACTGTTAAGAATCTTTGGTGTTAACAATTCCTCTATTTTCAATTTCGTTGTTCTTGAACAAAATAGATTTTCTGAATCCATGTTTTGAAATCCTGATGGGATACATTATGGGATTCCTCGAGTAATGATATGGAGTTGTGTACTTAACTAAAAAACTATAATGATATTAAACTACGTGTTTCTGAATATTTTAAACAAACATGGTTATAGAAGTGTATTATTTATTAATCGTATATTTTAGTTGCAATCAGGTGCATGCCGCTTCATTGATTCATGATGATCTTCCCTGCATGGATGACTCCCCCTCACGCCGTGGCCACCCTTCAAACCACACCATCTATGGTGTTGACATGGCAATTCTTGCGGGTGATGCCCTCTTTCCCCTTGGATTTCGTCACATTGTTTCACACACTCCATCTGACCTTGTACCTGAGCCCTACCTCCTTCGCGTAATTGCTGAGATGGCCCGCTCTGTTGGCTCCACCGGAATGGCAGCAGGGCAGTTCCTGGACCTTGAAGGTGGGCCCCATGCAGTTGGATTTATACAAGATAAAAAGTTTGGTGAAATGGGAGAGTGTTCTGCAGTATGTGGAGGTTTGTTGGCTGGAGCTGAAGAGGATGAGATAGAGAGACTGAGGAGGTATGGGAGAGCTGTTGGAGTATTGTATGCACTTGTGGATGATATTATTGAAGAGAGATTTGATGTTGATGGGGGTGACAGGAAAAGCAAGGGAAAG